ATTGCAGCTCACATGGAATAAGCAAAAAAAATCCTAAATAAAATATTTATAAAATTTTGGAAAAAATTGAAAAATATTTATAAAATGTGCTCAAAATGCATTCGAAAATTATACAAAAGGTTCAATGATCACGCCTGATTTGTTTATTTATTATTCAATTGATGATAAAAATTTTTCCTCTACTGCTTGTCCTGAAGATGGGCTTAAAAATTTGTATCTTACACTTGTGAGAACTGGAGTTTTTTTTTTTTTTTTTTTTGTATGCATACTCATGAGAAAAAAGATTTTATAACAATGTACTGCTTTGCCTACAATAGACGGCTCATGGTAAATGATGTTCAAGAGATAAATATCATAGTTTTGTTGATTAATTAAAAAAGACGATTGAAATCACGGTTAGGATCAATTGAAGAATAAAATATTGGTGAAAAAATAAGAGCATGATAATTAATACCTGAGAAATGAATAAAAAGTAGAGTACAAGTCACAAGTATACAATATAATATTATATGAAGGTGAAGGAAAGATAGCGGGACAAATAAGTTTGCGCATGATATATGGCTGCTCGAACTACTAACTGTTTCTTCTTGCGCTTTGGCCTTTTAAGAAAACAATAGCGTTGTTAATCAGTGTTCATTCGTAACATGGAGAAATAATTTTAATCAACTTCGTTCTTCTTTCGCTCAATTATGCGTGAAATACATATGCACACAGATAAATGCGCGTAATTTTATTCACGAATCAAATGTGAACTTGTCGATAGTACTTGGTTCACTTAATTTCGTCGAAAAGAATAGCAACATCATCTTTAGATATATATAATGTATAACTGATGTAATCCTTGTTCGAATAACTTATCAGCATTGTAATGAAATAAATACATCGAAGTTATTAAACCCTTTAAAACAAAAATGAAAACAAATAAGTTTACCACACAACGAGTGCAAAATATAAAAATGATTTGTTTAACGAATGAATATTCACTTTGTTATCAGGGAACAAAAATATTGAAAGAAGGTTTCGTGAGTCGACGGCTGCGAGCAGGTGCTTTGCATCCGCTATACTAATGGAAGATAAAGTTTGAGCTCTGAAAATAAATACCAAATGTTTATCATTTATTGGTTTAGCCTGAACGTGATGAAAGAACTGTGTGTATCACAACACTACTGGGTATGTTTTTTACATAATAATCAGAGTATGTGTAAGCATATAATAAATAATAATCGCGCAATGTTGCAATGACGTTGTCGTCAAACCAATAGGAAATATAATTAAATCAGCCAAATGGCACTTGCACGTGAACTTGATAGCTGTTACACTTAATATGCACGCAGTGAGTAAAGAGAGGGGGGAAAAAAAAAGGAGGCGGTGGCCGGAGCAGGTGCGAGGCCGGTCGCTCTTGGCACTCGTTTCCGGCGCATGCATTCGCCGGCGGTCATTTGCAAATGTGAATTAGACCGTGGACAATAATACAGAGAGGCACAACCTCTATCTCTTTCCCTCCTCCTCGTGCACGCTGCACCCATTATTTTTCCTGCGTATATACGGAAAGGGCTCTCTTGTCTGCCTGACTACCTGTTCCGCCGCCGTAACGTGCCCGCTGTGAGCCACCACGAGAGGATGGTAAACACGCCACACTGGATTTTCACTGCGTACCTCCCGCCCCCAGGCCTTATCACTTTAAGAACATTTTTTTGTTTGTTAATACAGCCTAACTGCGAGGGGATCTGAGAATGGGGGGGGGGAGAGATAAGCCGGAGGTTTTGAATTAAACAGACCCTACGCGTTATCCAGGACAGCACACAAGTACTATATGCATTGGATAATAAACTAACTGCGGGGAAATATTACAACGTATGTGCAATGGTGTGTGTATTTTTATGCCTGACTTTCATAGTACCATCGAATAACTATAATATACAACATTTTGGTAAAAAAAAAAAAAAAAAAAAAAAAAAGTGATAATTTTAACAAAATTTAATTAACTGCCGAGATGTAAACACACATATCAAATATCTTCTTCCGTCTTTCTTTTTATACAAACAGTTACATAGGTAAGTGCGAGTAAAAAGTCAGAACTGGAGTCGAGTGACAGGAGAAACGAGCAATATGAGAAACATGGGAATGCTACGGATGATGTCAAGATATGCATGAGTGAGTCAAAGAGATGAGACGACGTATTTCGCGATTAATTTGAAAAAAAAGACTTGTACACGTGCCACAATAGCCTTTTGTTATAGATTAATTCTTTTTTTTACAGAATAATTTGTATTTCCATCGTTCAATAAAAAATGTAACAAATCATGTGCTCTGCTGTGTCGATAAATATTTTCTCTCCGACGCAGTTATTGTTTTATTCTTTTATCCAACATTCATAGTTCACTACTAGTGAATTAAAAAAAACAATTTACACTTAATTAACTTTTAAGCTTCCATACAAATCTATGTAAGCTTGCCTATAATAATAGTATCACAACAATTTAATGTTACGTGCTGGTTTGCAACAAATTATTGTATGAATCATGCCCGAAATAAAACATTTGTTTTCATATACCTCGAAGCTTTATAATCATTGAAAAAAGAAAAAAAATAATAATAATCACAACTAGCGTATCTTAAAAAATTGAATGTTATTGAAATAATTCCCAATAACAAATTTTTGAAAAAAAAATCTACGCTATAAATATACATACTATTGTGTTGTGTTAATAAAATTTGCACAAAATTAAGTCTATTCGCTGCGTGAAAGTGTGATGCTGTCCTCATTTTTTGGAACTCTCCATTTAAAATCTGATTATATGATAATAAGTTGAAGCGAATAACGCTGGCGTTAACTTTGGGTCTTCTTTAATCCGAGGAATCAGAGTTGTTTTTTTTTTTTTAGATGAATTAATGAGTTAGGGAAAATATGTGTTACAAATCTGAAGTAATGAAAAGAACAAAAAGAATCTACAAATAGTAACAACTATGCTATGTCTGCAACTTTTTAAAATACGTGTACCAAAATCACTAAATTGAATAAAAAATTCAAGAAACAACTCAGCGAAACAGCGTCGCATTGCAGCTCATGCATTTGACTGTTTTTCACTCGTTACTGGAAAAAATTGTACAAAAACTATAGAATAGTAGTCCAAGGTTGTCTCTTAATTTCTTGAGTACGATTCATTAATATTATTGTTTGAGTACAGCAGATACGCATAGTGGTCGACCCTTTTCTGAGTACTTCAATTCAGGTAAGAGAAATGTTTTGAAAAAATTACATGAAGTACTCCAAAATGTCTCGTATTTCGTATTTTTACTTGGCATCGAAACATCTGTTTATTTAATTTAATACAAGTACAATATTGAGACTTTGCATGCCACTGCCCCTTTTGGATCTCAATTATATTCAGTTGAAAAAAGTTCTAGAACAGAATTCATAAAATTGTACGTATAACATTGCGAAAAATGTCGAGTCACCGGCATATGACGCTATACCCATCCACCTATCGATCACAGGAAACTCGGAAAAACTAGCGGACTATTCGTTTTATTTTCGAGATGTCAGTAATTATATTGAATGATAATTTTTTGTATTTATAAATAGCGTGGAAAATGTACTGTTAGTAACTCAATTTGCAAAAAATATCAGCTGTACTCGTGATTCGTGATTTTTACAGTGTATCGTCAACAACACTCTACGTAGAGTCAGCCGAGTGAGGTAAGACAAACATTGACGGGCGGAGAAATAACAAAAAAAATCTCAAGTACTCGATGAATTTTCGAACGTGGTAATTTCCAATTTTCAAATACTAATATAGGAAATGACCGCATGAGTCTATAAGTACGGTATGGTATATTTTCAACACGGCATTAACGCGTACGTGATATGGAAGGGTAATTTTTTGGCTAACCTAGAAGCGGGTGAGAAAAATCGATCGCCCTCCGTCCCGCCTCCCCCTTCCCCACCCGGCAGTCAAAGCTAGTGTTCTGAAATGTAAAAGCATAACACAAATAAACGTATAGGTACGTACCTGTAGGTGTATCGGCACCTTCTTCACCGGCGTACTCATCTCGAGGATGCTCCTCCGCGGACCAGGAAATAGTAGACGCACACAGGACTACCGCGCACGGAACACCAGCCCTTGCGTGTATAAGGACAACGGGAGAGCCGACTCGAGGAGGACGAGAAATCGAAGCCGGGGAAAAATAGTATATGAAGCCGGATCCCTGCTGCGACGAAATGTAGCAACGACGCAGGCGCTCCGAAACTCACTCAATCGAACTTGTAGTTTGATGTCGTAGGGCGTATATACATATATAGGTGTTTACTTGGGTGCTCAACTATATCAGCCCTGGCGCTCGGTGGATTGATGCTGCTATTCTTCTCGAGTCCTTGTCCCTCCGTTATAAATGTAGGATACTTATTCACACCTACAGGTATAAAAAAAAAAAGGCAACGACTTTAAAAACCCTGATGGCATCTGCAGGTGCACGTCTATTATACACATGGGTGATAAAATCTATGCAATATTCTATATATGCGCTCGGAGATTCATTGCACAATTTTTGCACGGCTGACGGCACATCGTATAAGTATCGTAGTAATATATGCGTACGCACACACACACACACACGTGACGTGCAAGCATATTATACAGGCGTACCGGCTCGTCGAGAAAACAAAATATTACATAAATAATTATGCAAAGGAGATGATGATGATGATGATGATACACGACACACACGCGGTCTGTTATTCTATAACGGTCTACTAATAAACTTTCAACGTTGAAATGACATGCATGGGGGATTGGGAGACGCTCAAATTAACTCGGCGTTTTATACCTACACTAAGGGGGAGACAAACACAAACAAACAATTCACTAAAAGGAATTAGGATGCGTATGAATAAATAAATTAGGTGGTACACCGTTGATATTATTGATCGGCTGGGGTAAGTATATGTGTTTACGTGTTAACACCAACGAAACAGGTACCTATACTTGGAGAATCGGACCCTTAGTTGGCCTGGCAAACAAATTATCAGAGCCGGGCTTTCGTGAGTTTGCCCCTGTGTACAATAATTCCAGCTATAGTTATATGACTCTGTTTCTCTGCATAACACTACCATTCATAAAATAGCCTGTCTATATATCACATATACATTGCGGATAGGGGGCTGTAACTGCGAATTTATTGAATTAAATCTTATACGCATACAGACACTGTTAAGTATACATGAAAATAAATTTCAAAGCTGTAAATTTACGATGGTCAAAAACAATGGAAACACTTTCTCGTATTGGCTAGTCAGTTCCCTTTTATATAATTTGAACGTGCACAAAACAGCCATACATCTCTTTCGTCGTCACCTACTATTTTTTCCTAAACTTTCTACTGTAGTGCTCCGCGCGGTCCTCCTACTACAGAACTACCACAATGTACTACATTACATGGTACTACTACGCGATTTTTCTACTATATATATATATACATAAGTACTACCAGTAATATTGCTAATATTATTGGTACTATGCTGTTGTTATATATACCGCCTATACCTCAACGAAAGCTACAACGGGTCTGTCTCGCACACACATTAATTATTAACAATTAAGAAAATCGTGTACTTGTGTAATATATATATATGTAATATTATGTTGTATGTACCACCGTCGGTTCAGAGCACTGGCGATCGACTGGCGCGCGCATCAACTCGAGGCGGCGTGTGTATAGCACACGCTCTCGTGTGTAGTTACAGTAAGTATAGCGGGCGCGTCTCGCCTTTTTGCCTCTCTCGCTATAAATACGTATATATACTTATACCTGCCTATACATCTTATACTCCGTTTTTTCTCTGATCTCCGTTATACTTACCCACTCGCCGTAAGTACTTGCCTGTGTAAACGTACCTACTATCCTACTAATAGATCGGGATTTAAGGATAGAGCACGATAAGTAATCCCACGTAACTCCAGAGGAGACTGCATGAATTACCCCGAGAGTGATCTTGGGAAACCCGAGCGTGATCGATCTCTTTTTCACCAATAAAAGCACTGTTGGGTAATCGCAGGAATTGCGGAAAGGGTATACATTATAAGTAGGTATAGGTATATCATATAGGTGCACGGGGTTAGCGGGTGTAATCTATTCGAATTGGCCGCTGTACGCTGATGGGTAATATATGATCTCTCGAGCGGAGCTCTTTCATAGACATGTATTTCAATAATTGGGTCATATTATATATGTAGAAATGGCAATGTGTAGTATATAGTGCCTGGAACAGGGTTGAAACAAAAAAAAAAAAAAAAAAAGGGTTGCAATAACATATATAACAGACTGTAACGCTTTTCCCCGTGGTTTTTCAGGGTTGAAAATGGCTATAGTTCAGCGTTTTTTCACAAGTTTGTTTCTACATATCCAAAGAATTTCATTTATCAGCGATAAGTGCTAGGTGTATTCCAGGACTATACGGTTTGGGCGCCCACGGTGATTCCGAAGCGTTGAAGTGTATATCTTTATAGGATCTATGGTAAATAAGAGTCGTGGGCGCCTGAAACCGAAATCCTCGAAACCACCAACTACACCCATCTTACATCCACTTAATGTGGCGAGTTGTGGAAATATTTAGCGATACACCGCAGTGGGTAAATTAATTTTTTTTTCTTATTTTTATGGGATTGTTCATTAATCACCGTATACATCGGATGTGTATACGGACATATATATTGACATTCCAAAAGTATATGTTATATTCACTTTTAAATTATTTACCAAGTATTTACGACAAGTCATAATTGAGCCTAACTTATCCAACTTTATAGTTGAGCGGCTGTTTGTTGTGTTAAAATATCTCTTGAATTGATGAGTATCATATTTTTTTTTTAATTATAAGGGATCACAGATTGAGAAAAAAAAATTAAATGTGAATGTACAAGGACAACACACGGGCTTAGTTTCTTTTTGGCTGATAAATATTAATCCGGAGACTCAAAGAACTTGTGACATTCTCAAAAATGAGTAAATCATGTTATAAAAAAATTTTGTCGTGAAAAATTGTCAAATCATTCCGGCTTGGACTCGTTTCTGTCTTCGGTGACTTGAAAAATACTATTCTGATAAATAGTAGAATTATAAATAATACCACAAAAAACGTGGTATTGGTATGAATATAGGAATATGAAACAAACGATTAACGTCATTAATAGTTTAACAATACTGTACAGAAGTCGTGTCATGTGGATACAAGTTCGATTTTCAGTTTGAGTTAAGATAAAAAACTGCCATGAATTTAAAAAAATAAATAAATATAAGTCCAGTAGGGGCCCCAATTATACATTTACTATATTATAAATACATCAGTACTACCAGTAATATTGCTAATATTATTGGTACTATGCTGTTGTTATATATACCGCCTATACCTCAACGAAAGCTACAACGGGTCTGTCTCGCNCCTATATAATATATACCCCGTATGGTAGATGTAGGTAATTAAGTCGACGGGGGCAGAGAAAACTGAAACCACCAATCGTACCTGAGCGCAGGGAGGGAGGGAGAAGGAAAAAATCGGGCGCGACAATAGCACAAGCTTCCGGTGAAAAGGCGAAAAAGCGTATAAAAGTAGGTATATAAACGGGAGGTGGTGGAGATAAAAAAAAAAAAAAAAAAAAAAAAAAAAAAAAAAAAAATTACAACTGCCTCTTCTGCGCAAAAATTGAAGTAAGTCTCCTTTTTTTCTAAAAATTGTATCCCTAATACATACTTATTCATTTACTGATAATATTACGTACTTGGAATGGTTACTCCAATGCTGTCTGATAATTTTTCATAAAAATTCGATATACTGTTAATTTGAAGGATAATTTGCATTACGTCTATATTATTAACAACCGTGAGATATAATTAATATTATTCACATATCAAAATTACTAACTTTTATATAAACTAAACAAAAAAATTTCATAAAATTTACCGTTAATTTGTAATGCAGTTTGGTAACGTAAAACAAGTAACCATTGTTTGCACAAGAAACTTCCTTCATCTTTTAGCTATTGATATGGTAACGGAACAAGTTATGTTCAACTGCATGCATAGATCTCCGAAAAGTGTAATCTGTGTGCGATAATAATTTTATTTGATGCCAATCTTACCATCTGCCGTTATGTGCTCCATTGCTCGCAAAATTTTCTCTCATATATATGTTGCGAGTGACGTAATTATATTTGGGTATCACCTGATCGTTTGCAGATAGACAGTAAGGGAAAAACAAGTTGATTTTTGCGGTTTTCTAATTTCAGAAATGATGAAAAATATAGTCGGCAATGTCGGCATATGGGGACTTTTGATCGTTTTCCCCGACGTTAGTCACGTTCTCTATAAGATAGGTGGCGTTAATCTCGGCAACCTACGTTACCACATAATATAATATATGTACTAAATATATTCAAAAATTTTAACAATTAAAGTTATTAAATGAGGTCAAGTTGTTATTCGTACAATTATTTAAACTGAAATGTTAATCGAATTTCATATAACATGACAAAAATCTGTATTCATAATTCATACCCGCAATCTTCGGACTGTAGAGCAAAAGCTCAATTCACGGAATTATTTGTATTCCTCCAGGAATGTGTTACAACGTGCGGAACTTCGTATGATCATCAGCTTACGTAAATGTTATGATTTATTGTCTCATTAAGTGCCTGAAATCCTTAGGTTTATTTAATATAATAATTAACTACATTTACTCAGGTGCTTTACAATGACGATTTCAAAGTAAATATACATATGTGAAAACCGCGAATCTGGTAACTTTAGGCCATCTATATGCTTAACAGATATTTCTATTATGTTTTATATTAATATATCACTGTCAGAAATACGTCAAAATTAACAGGAGCAAGCGGTCAATTAACAACTTGTTTAATACATTTTCCTTCCCTTTGCCGAACAATAGTTATAAATCGCTTTTCTCTTTTCTTCTCTGCGGACACTTTTCCAATAAAACCGTATCCAATAGAATTTACTTCAACGTTTGATTTTTCGTTATTGAATTTTAGTATGAGTATTATTTACTACTATTATTTTTATTCTATGTCAGGCTATTCTGTTTTGCATTACTATTACTATTGTCATTATTACGATTATCATTGTTTTCATAATATAACGTATATTTACTTTTGTAAATTAGTTTAATTTTCAACAGTAGATGTATGTTTATTGTTTAAAAGCGAGAAAAAATATTAAAAAGCACTGTATTTTTTTTAACTCATAGAGTTTTCTGAAAAAAAGCATGATTCTAAATAAAATGCGAAAAATCAAAAAGCTAAATGGTGCAGAAGTACGAGTGACTTGTGTTATTTCGACATAATTTTTTAAAAAATTTATTATCTATAGTTTTAAGTATATGTGCAGTTTCAATATTTTATCCTAATTTCTCTGATTTCCATTATGTGTTGTACTCCCGTAAAATTTTCGACTTGAAAATAAGTTAAATAACATCTATAAGTTCAACGATAAATTTCATTAAATGATGAATCAGCTGAAACAATATTATACTTAACCAAGATCGAGTCATTTTTGGCTGAATAACTCGTAGGAGGGGTGATTAAACATTTATCAGGAATGAAAATGTTTTCTTCTTCGCCCCGTACTGTATATACCTGCGAATATATAAATGACTTAGATGACAATCTCTCTCTATTCACTCCCAAAAATAATACAAGTTACATTATTTTATTGCAACTCAAATATTGGTGATGGAATTGTGATAATTGTTGAATCGCAATGAGTAGTATTAAATAGTACGAAACAAACAATATACAATTTTTCATGTACATGCTCTGCCAAAAAGTAAACACACACCTATAAATACACGGTCATGCACGTATTACACTCACGCTCGAAACTTTCAATTCATTTTTTTTTTTTTTTTTTTTTTCCAACAGCCAACATAATATCCGAAAAAAGTTTGTCCGCGCGACACCCAACAACCCCACATGCGAGCCTCACACGTAATCTCTCTTCCCCGTCATTGTTCTTATCCCCATCACTCCAAGGGTCAATCAGAGTCCCCACGTATTTTACACACTCTCGCGGGGCGAAAGCGAAAAAGGGAAGGAGAAAAAAAAAAGAAAATAAAAGGAGAGCCCATGCACGCTGGCGTACATATATATATACCTATACCCTTCTCTCTCTCTTTTTTTTTATAATGGCCCCTTCGAGACACGCTGCTACCACCACCGCGGCACCTGGAGCCCAAAACTAGGTGGCCCTGCTGTGTGTACATGTGCGCATTCACCCTTCCTCTCGCACGCACCCGATTAAATGGGGCCAGCATCCGCGCGCGCGTGCATCAGCCTTTCACCCCCCTCGTCATCCTGATCAGCAGCTATACATGCTGTACGCTCGACTCTGACACGGCGTGGAGGTAACATATATATATATATATATGTATATGGGGAAAGGGGGACAGGGAGAGAGAAAAGAAGTATAAAAAAGCGTCACCCTACCTCTTGGGTCTGGTAGGTATATATATATATATACAAAAACGCGTGTACCCCCATGTGCATGCACGAGAGAGTAGAGTTACGCATGCCGGCGAATCTTCGGGAAAAGGAGCGACCCCACCCCTTTTGTGCGCTTTTTTACAAGGGAACAGCTAGCGAGCGAGCCTCTCTCTCTCCCCGCTT